CCAGTGCTTCATGTAACCAGGGCTGTTCCAAGCTTCAGCCAGTGTTTCATGTAACCCAGGCTGCTCCCAGCTTCGGCCAGTGTGTGGATGAGCAGCCTCTGGGATAAGAGGTCATTGCAAGAAATGGCCCCGCTCCTGCCTGCCCGCGAGGGCTGGCACCGGGTGGTACGAGGGCAGCGCGTGGCTCGGCAGGGAGGAGGGCAACCTCTCCGATGGCCCGGTCCTGGGAGGCTCTGTCTCGTGGCGTGGTGCCTCCCGTGAGCCCCATCCCGACACTCTATTTTCCAGGCACATTTCTCCCGGTGTTATTCATAGCATAAGTCCCTTATTCATCCGGCTCTCCACCCACACCTGCTCATCAGAAGGGCAGGAGACAAGCAGGGCCATCCAAGCTTGGAGGAAACCTGCTTCAAAGCCCCCTTGATTTCAAGGCTGAAAATCCCGGGATGGATCCTGCTGTCCCCTCCACCCTGCCCCAAGTCTCCCCATCCCGTCCCTTCCCAGAGGGGTCAATTCCTGCCCTTCTCCTGCACGCAGCCAAACCCGGCCGGCCAGAGAGGGGGATCGGGGAGCTCGGAGGAGAAGACCGACACCTGGGTCCATCCTGGTCTTGGTGTTTACTCCTGTTTTCTTCTGGCAAGGTCATTGTCAAGCCCTTTGCCTGCCTCTCTCCAGTGAGCCCACCCAGGACCTCACTGCCCCGGCAGGTCCAGCACGTGCGCTTCAGTGCACAAGGCAAATGCTTCCCACAGTGGTGGCCATGAGCCAGGCCGCCTGCTCTGGGGACCCTCCGCTTCCAGGGTGGCTTCTGAGCCAGCCCTCGCGCTGCAGCACACTCCTCTTTAGTTTTCACACGCAGGACTAATAGCATTTTGTTTGCTTTTTGCATCTACCCTGTGCTTCTGAGGGCTCTGCCCCGCTGGGGTGCAGGGGTGGAGGCAGGCAGGGGCTGGCCGAGCGGCGAGCTGCGTCCTTGGACAGCCCTGAGCTGGCCTTGCGCGCGTGCCCGCGCGAGCTGCCACATCCTCGTCTGAAAAGGGATTCTCAGAAAGTAGCTCCAGGTAGCAGCTCCAGGAATGATTGTTTGCTGGTGTTTCTACAAAGCCACCTACGGAAAGCAAGTTACAGAGAACCGTGTGTCTGGGCTTGACCCCGGCAACCTGATGTTAAATGTCATGCGTGCGCAACACCTCCCGAGTGAAATCCTCTCCCTTTCTTGCTGGTAACTGCCCCTATGAACCCTGCTGCACCCTCCTGCCCTCCCGCTAGCAAACGGGGTGCTAATAGCACGCACAGCCAGAGCTAGCCCAGGAGACCCTGGCGGCTCCTCCGCTCTCTGCTCCGACCTCCAGGCATGAGGGAATGATAACTCTGCTCTTCCCGGCAAAGTGCTTTGTCCTGCGGCAGGACTGCGCCCACGCAGAACCAGCCCTCTGGCCCCATGCCGAGCCCTGCGCCGCGCGGCGCAGCATCGCTGCCTGAGCCTGCGCCTCTGGGGCTGTACGATCCCCCTACTGCCCTGAGCAAAACTCCCCGAGGTCCGCAGTGGTGGAGGGCAGGGAAAAGCAGAGCCCAGCTCCACCAGGTGTTCTCCAGGCAGGGCTTCTCTGTGGTGGTGCCACCTGCCCGGCCGACACGGTGGTCTGCGAGGGGATATTTCAGGGTCAGCCATGTCACCGCGGGGCTCGGGGGCTGCTGGAAATCCCAGCCCCTCTCCAGCCTTGCCCGTGCAGAAGCTGTCAGCGTTGCTGAGGCTGCGGCAACCTCAGCCCCAGGCCGCAGAGCGGCAGCTCCAGGATGTGGGTGCCGCACAAGGGAGCAGCAGCCAGGCAGGTGGGAGGATGGAGCCGAGGACGTGCTTTGCCCTGCAGCCTGCCCCGCAGACGTGGGCAGCCCCTTTGCCGAGTAGGTCCCCTAGCAGCTGGCAGGAGGGTCCTGGCGGGTCCTGCAGCTCCCAGCCCTCGCTGCCCCCGAGAGGAGCTGCAGAGGCTCTGGGGAAAGACCTGCTGTGCGGTTCTGACTCAGGTGATTTCCAGGTTATGAAAAACATGGCTATTCCTATTCAAAGATTAGTCAATTATTTTGAAGATGAAAAGGAAACTCAGCAGCATTCTCGAGGGCTGGTTTGACCCGTGAACTCAAAACCTCTCCTGCCAACACTGAAAACGTGGGGCTGCTCTTTTCTGTGATACTTTGGTTTTAACGTGGTGCTTCTCATGGTCAGCAGCGCCTGACGCAAAGCTTGTCTGTTGTTATCACCGGGTCCCCTGCCCGTGCTGGGGCTGCAGGGGCTGGGGGGTTCCCAGCGCATGGCTGTGGGACAGGGCTGAGTGCTGGGCAGGGTCTGCTGTGCCCACCTGCCTTGGGCTGGGAAGACAGGTCTGCCCTCCTTTCCCTGAGAGGCAGCGGCTCCCTCCCCGGGGCCCCTCGCAGCAGAGCTGGTGGCAGCAAAGGTAGCAGGGAGGCATGAAGTCTGCAGCCTCGAGGATGCCAAGCAGTGATTCATGGAGGATGAGAGGAAAGCACTGACAAGACAGGGATCCTGGGCAGCATCTGCACACTGCTGCACCGTCCCCGCACCAGCTCCTCCTGTGGCATCTGGCAGTACCCGCACCCGTGCAGCAGCTAGGGTGCCAGCACGAGCACCGCAGGGTGACTGCGCCGCTCACAATCTGAGCGTTCAGCAGAACTGTCATTTCTCCTTGGCCTGTTTCATTTTCCCCCAAATCGGCAACCACTTCTCCCAAGCTCCTGAACCACCTCACCCGCAGGACCAGCCCCGCGGTGTCTTTTCCACAAGGCTCCCTCCTTCCTCATTTTTGGTCCCATTGCTTTTCATTTTCATTCCTTTACATGAAACACGAGCTGTGGCTTTGTGTGGGATGGGCTGTGCTTCATCTCAGGACTACTAAATTCAGTGGCTGCCAGATCTGACTCAGAGCTGATAGCAGAGTGACAGGACATCAGCTGGTCTCCCAAAGCGGGGAGAATAAAGCCAAGCCAGGGTGAAGCCAGGGAGGGGATCTGCTGCTGGAGCCATCCTCCCCTGCCCATCCCTACGGCTGGCCCTCAGGAGAGGAACAGCCGTCGGCGAGGGAGAGCCTCTCCCCGCTGCCAGGCACCCAGCATCACCCCGTGCCTATATTCCCTATGGCCCCGGCAGAGCAGAGCTGAAGCCTGCGTGTCCCTGGGTGCCACAGGAGCCAGGCATGCCACTGTGCCGTGCCAGAGGTCCTGCTGCCAGGCACCGGAGGATGGCTCTGTGGCACTGCTGGACCCACCCTGCAGCTGATGAATTTGCTGGTGCTCTGGCAAGGCTGTGAGTTCGTGGAAGCCCGTGGACTTTAGCAGGAAGGATGAGTCAGGGGACGGACTCTGTTCTGAGTCAGGGGAAAAAGCAGAAATCTCCCACTTTGGGCATTTAAGATGGCTCTTTGAGGAGCCACTTTGCTGCAGCAAAGGGACCCGAGGTCCTGCACCTCTAGGCCCACCAAGCCAGGGACTGCTCTGAAGCTTTCTGAGGCTGTCCAGAGCACTCTCGGTTTCTCTTGCTCTTTTTGCCTGTGTCCTTTCCGCTAATTCCCCACGGGGAAATTCCTCTTCTTGAGACAAATTGCTCTCCATCACATGAGGGCCCCTGGGTTTGCATAGGCCCCAGGAAAGCCCTCAAGCCAATTCTACTGTAATTCAGCCTGCCAGAAGGCAAAGCAGACGACTTGCAGTCCACTTGGTGGTAATTCAGATCCTAGCACCTGAGGCCAGCATCACCAGACAGGCAGGACATCGCTGTGGGGCCAGAGCCCCGCAGCCACGCGCACCACAGCAGTACCGGGGCCCCGGGTCTGGCTGACAGCTGCCAGAGCCCCGGGGACAGCTTACAGCCCCCGCCGCCGCACGCAGCTTCAGAGCTTGTGATGCCACCCACGAGCGCAGGTGTTTGCAGGACACGTAATAGCCCAGAGGTTGTCACTTGGCCCCAGAAATGGGGAAAGGCGAATTGCAGACTGAAGCAGGAGCGTACGGGTTGAGCCCAAAGGAAGGGAAAGCAAGAACCCCCTCCTGGGCTCCCCAGGGCTGGCTGTGACATGGCCGGCTTTAGCCGCTGGCAGGACAGGACACTGGCCCAAGGGGACACTGCTGGGCAGGTGCTGTGCTCAGTAAAATCCCTGTGATGGGTCATCCTAGGTGCTAGCGCTCGCCCCCTGTGCTTTTAACACCTCGTTTAATAATGAAGCAGCAAAGGCAGACACATGATTTACTCCTATTGTCCCTTTCTTAGTGGTGTACCGTTTTGTTCAAAAAAGCCCCCAAAGCTCTTCCTTTAAGGCTGCTTGTAGGAAATGCCCAGCCTGGGCTGAGAGTTCAGCTGTGGGTGAGTGGGTGGACAGTAAAGAAAAGTGGAAGTGGCTACACAGCTGCGCTAACGCC